GACTGTTGAGTAGACTTCAGGATGTACATGTTTATAGAGGGGCCACAGATATATCAGATCACTTTCTAGTTGTACCTACACTAAGAGTAAAAGGTAGATGGGATACAAGGAGAATAGAAGCATCAGGGAAGAGAGAGGTGAAGGTTTATAAACTAAAAGAGGAGGCAGTTAGGGTAAGATATAAATAGCTATTGGAGGATAGATGGGCTAATGAGAGCATAGGCAATGGGGTCGAAGAGGTATGGGTTAGGTTTAAAAATGTAGTGTTGGGTTAGGTTTAAAAATGTAGTGTTAGAGTGTTCAGCAGAAGTTTATGGTTACAGGAAAGTGGGTGCAGGAGGGAAGAGGAGCGATTGGTGGAATGATGATGTAAAGAGAGTAGTAAGGGAGAAAAAGTTAGCATATGAGAAGTTTTTACAAAGTAGAAGTGATGCAAGGAGGGAAGAGTAATGGAGAAAAAGAGAGAGGTTAAGAGAGTGGTGAAGCAATGTAAAAAGAGAGCAAATGAGAGAGTGGTGAGATGTTATCAACAAATTTTTGTTGAAAATAAGAATAAGTTTTGGAGGGGAGATTAACAAGTTAAGGAAGCCTAGAGAACAAATGGATTTGTCAGTTAAAAATAGGAGAGGAGAGTTATTAAATGGAAAGTTAGAGGTATTGGGAAGATGGAGGGAATATTTTGAGGAATTGTTAAATGTTGATGAAGATAGGGAAGGGTGTGATTTCGTGTATAGGGCAAGGAGGAATAACATCTTGTAGGGGTGAGAAAGAGCCAGTTGTGAGTGTGGGGGAAGTTCGTGAGGCAGTAGGTAAAATGAAAGGGGGTAAGGCAGCCGGGATTGATGGGGTAAAGATAGAAATGTTAAAAGCAGGTGGGGATATAGTTTTGGAGTGGTTGGTGCAATTATTTAAAAAATGTACGGAGAGGGTAAGGTAACCTAGGTATTGGGAGAGAGCATGCATAGTTTTCCTTTGTATAAAGGCAAAGGGGACAAAAGAGATGCAAAAATTATAGGGGGATAAGTCTGTTGAGTATACCTGGTAAAGTGTATGGTAGAGTTTTTTATTGAAAGAATTAAGAGTAAGACGGAGAATAGGACAGCAAATGAACAAGGAGGCTTTAGGAAAGGTAGGAGTGTGTGACCAGGTGTTTACAGTGAAATATATAAGTGAACAGTATTTAGAAAAAGGCTCAAGAGGGCTTTGTGGCATTTATGGATTTGGAAAAGGCGTATGACAGGGTGGATAGGGGGGCAATGTGGCAGATGTTGCAGGTGTATGGTGTAGGAGGTAGGTTACTGAAAGCAGTGAAGAGTTTTTACGAGGATAGTGAGGCTCAAGTTAGAGCATGTAGGAAAGAGGGAAATTATTTCCCAGTAAAAGTAGGCCTTAGACAAGGATGTGTGATGTCACCGTGGTTGTTTAATATATTTATAGATGGGGCTGTAAGAGAAATGCGAGGGTCTTGGCAAGAGGCGTGGAGTTAAAAGATAAAGAATCACACATAAAGTGGGAGTTGTCACAGTTGCTCTTTGCTGATGACACTGTGCTCTTGAAGAGAAGTTGCAGAGATTGGTCGATGAATTTGGTAGGGTGTGCAAAAGAAGAAAATTAAAAGTGAATACATGAAAGAGTAAGGTTATGAGGATAACAAAAAGATTAGGTGATGAAAGATTGGATATCAGATTGGAGGGAGAGAGTATGGAGGAGGTGAATGTATTCAGATATTTAGGAGTGGACGTGTCAGCGGATTGGTCAATGAAAGATGAGGTGAATCATATTATTGATGAGGGGAAAAGGGTGAGTGGTGCACTTAGGAGTCTGTGGAGACAAAGAACTTTGTCCTTGGAGGCAAAGAGGGGAATGTATGAGAGTATAGTTTTACCAACGCTCTTATATGGGTGTGAAGCATGGGTGATGAATGTTGCAGCGAGGAGAAGGCTGGAGGCAGTGGAGATGTCATGTCTGAGGGCAATGTGTGGTGTGAATATAATGCAGAGAATTCGTAGTTTGGAAGTTAGGAGGAGGTGCGGGATTACCAAAACTGTTGTCCAGAGGGCTGAGGAAGGGTTGTTGAGGTGGTTCGGACATGTAGAGAATGGAACGAAACAGAGTGACTTCAAGAGTGTATCAGTCCCGTAGTGGAAGGAAGGCGGGGTTGGGGTCGGCCTAGGAAAGGTTGGAGGGAGGGGGTAATGGAGGTTTTGTGTGCGAGGGGCTTGGGGCTTCCAGCAGGCATGCGTGAGCGTGTTTGATAGGAGTGAATGGAGACAAATGGTTTTTAATACTTGACGTGCTGTTGGAGTGTGAGCAAAGTAACATTTATGAAGGGGTTCAAGGAAACCGGCAGGCCGGACTGAGTCCTGGAGATTGGGAAGTACAGTGCCTGCACTCTGAAGGAGGGGTGTTAATGTTGGCAGTTTAAAAACTGTAGTGTAAAGACGCCGTTCTGGCAAGACAGTGATGGAGTGAATGTTTGGTGAAAGTTTTTTTTTTCGGGCCACCCTGCCTTGGTGGGAATCGGCCAGTGTGATAATAAAAAATATAATATAATATAATATAATATAATATATATATATATATATATATATATATATATATATATATATATATATATATATATATATATATATATATATGCAAAACTACCTCAGGGAGAGTTGAATGACAGCTATAGGCCTTTCGTGTTGGAATCAATACATTATCTGGAGTTTGGAAAGATTACTTATTCATTTCTGCAACTTTGCAAGCTCCTTATGTGTTGATTGCAACACGAAAGGCCTAGAGCTATCATTCAACTCTCCCTCTGGTTGTTTTGCATCCTGTGTCGCTTGTTCGCGATTCTTCCATACACACACACACACACATATATATATATATATATATATATATATATATATGTCGTGCCGAATAGGCAGAACTTGCCATCTTGGCTTAAATAGCAACGCTCATCTTGCCATATAGGACAAGCGAAAATTTGTGTATGCAATAATTTTGCCAAAATCATTCTGAACCTAACGAAAAAAATATATTTCACTGTGTTTGTATAGTATTAAATTATTGTAAACAAATCTAAAATATATTTAGTTGTGTTAGGCTAAAATAAATTGTTCTTGTTGTAATAAGGTTAGGTAAGTTTTGTAAGATACTTTTGGAGCAAAATTATAAATTTTTACATTAACATTAATGAAAAAAATATTCTTTAAACGTATAAGAGAAAATTTTAGAAAGGACTTAATTTAAATGAGTTCTTGCTAATTGACCAGTTTTACATATTCGGCACGACATTATATATATATATATATATATATATATATATATATATATATATATAATACGTTGGAGAGAAAGTATAAGAGAAAATAGTGGAGTCACTAGTGAGTGTTGGAACGCACAAGACCAAGGAGAGCAAGAGAGCAACAAGGGCACATGCAAGCTGAAGACACGATCAATGACATTCAATGGCCACGGACACACTTGTTGTGGGGTGAGTGACCTCCTCTTCCTCACACTCAGCCCAGCACCTGTCACACTTGTGCAGGGCGTGACCTCCCTCTGGAGTGATCTCTCCCTTGATCAAGAGCCCTTCACCCGCAATCGAGACTCCTCCCGTGAATTACAGACATTGTAAGCTCAGGACTATTGTACACGACCTTTGATCTCTTAGCTAAACCATCTTCACCAATATTACTCTATTGTGGAACAAAATAAATTAGATATTTATAGAATTTTAAAAACTTGAACATTAGACAGTATAAGCTAGATCTTAACCGGTTTAATGTCGAGTACACCCGGGTCATTAAGGCTACATTTAACCTCTACACCACTAGCCAAGGACACTTTAATCCCTAAAATAGGAATTAAACTCAGTGTACATAAACTGAGAGATACACACCTCTCGGTGTGTACCTCTCAGTACCTAAAAACGTTTGTTTACCATGAGGCTGTTTCCTGGTTGGATTTTCTCTTGAAGTGACTAGCACTGTAGTGTGCATCATTCCCTGCTAAGCTGAGTACTGTTTAAGACACTGCTAAACGATGGTCGTCAGTAAACTTTGAAGTTAATATCCCTTAGTGTATATACAGAGACATACACCTTTCAGCGTATATATGCTGAGAAGCATATATACGCTGAGATTTGTATGCCTCTGTGTATACAACGTTGACAGGTAATATGTCTAGCGTATACAAGCTGAGACGTTTATGTTAATCAGTACATATGCACTGAGAGGTGGTTAATCAATGCATATACGACGAGAGATGGATTAATGATGAGAGGATTAATGTTCTCTTGACTGATAGAATCCAAGTTACTCAGAAAACAGTGTTAATGGCCCATGGTAGCGGAGACACTTCAAACACTCAGACTTCCTGAGAAAATGCTTTCCATACTAGGCGTCCTCAATTATAACTTCTAAATTTAAACATGCTAACATATCTGACTGTTGTTGTCATTAAATTCACAGTATGTGCAAGGTATTATCAGAAGCCTGAAGAAGATAGTGACCGAGTCATAGATTTTAATCACCTTTAAAAGCTGTTTTTTTTCCTTGATATCTTAACATATGATATCCTCATACTTTATAATTTTGACTATTTACATTTCATTGTTAGTTATCCTGAATACCTTGGCTTCACACAGTAATCGTTGCTTTTACGACGCTGTGACCCTCTCTTGACATTTTTAAGGACGTTCCCTTCAAGGAGGTTCTTGATCTAAGGAATCGAAGCAGCTTTTACTTTATTTGAATCAAACTTGATTACGTTCCATTCCCCATGAGTTGTGTGGTCCCTAAGGGTTTACTGCATCCCCTTAAATACAATAAAATTCAGTGAAAATAATATTTGAGAGTACTGCCTACGCGGATAAGTCATCCTAGCATTTAAATGTCCACTCACAGTACGGCCAGATTGTCTACTTTTTGCCCTCTCCTAGCCTCCCTGGTAATACTTCACGTGGAGTATGATATACACAGGTGGTTGATGAGCAGTTGACTCACCTGTGATAGGAAGATGATGCGAGCCGAGTCAGCTCAGGTGAAGGTGGCAGTGTACGACCTCTCCCCCCTTTGCACCACAAGATACACTGTTGGCGCCCCCGCCCACACGTAGTGCGGACCGACACACCCAGGGGAACACATTTAAATACCCCGCTGCCCGACACAATGCATACCCGCTGCCAGACACATGCATACTACCGCTGCCAGACAGGCATTTCCCCCGACCCCCATACCCCGTTGCCAGACACGCATACCCTGCTGCCAGATGCTTGCATTGAGACTTATCTCCTGTGAGGAGAGATTCAAAGCAGTAAAGTTGATGACGCTATAGAAATAATAATAATGATAATAATAATAATCATTATTTCTACAAGTACATGTATACAGGCCAAGCAGACATCAATAACACACTACTATATAGAAAGACCCTGGTTATGCAGAGTATTTCTGGCAAGTTAAGTAAATTTTGTCCCTAGGATGCGACCCACACTAGTCGACTAACACTCAGGTACTTATTTTACTGACAGTTGAACAAGGAGAACAGGTGTTTCAAGGAAACACTTATTAATGTTTCCACCCGCACCGGAGATCGACACCCCGCCCTCCGTGTGTGAGGAAGGAAAGACTAGGAGAGATATAAGAGGAATCGACAGGTTGGAAGCGGACACATTGTTGGACGGGGAACAGGAAGACCAGGAGACAGCTGGAAGTTAACACAGATAGATGAGTCTCAGGAATGTTATCATGTATTTTTTGTCTTAGGAAATGGAATGAGGTGGACTGTGGAGTGGTAGAAGCAGCATCATTGCATAGATTCGAGAAGAGGTACGATAAGGCTCTCGAAGGAAGGAGTGAACTTATTAACGACCAGAGAAGAGGCGGGGCCCGGAAGCTGACTTTCCCCCAATTTTTTTAAAAAAATATATAAATATATATATATTTATATATAATATATAAATTTTTTATATAATATATATATATATATATATATATAATATATATTAATATATATTATATATATATATATACATATATATATATATAATATATTATATATATATATATATATATATATATATATATATATATATAATATATATATATAAATATTAATATTATAAATATATATATATATATATATATATATGGGAGAAATATAGCTAAGCACATGTATATCCCGCTACCAGACACATGTATACTCTTCTGCCAAACACATGAATACTCTTCTGCCAGACACATGTATACCCTTCTGCCAGACACATGTATACCCTTCTGCCAGACACATTCCTAAGCATACATACCCCACAGAGGCACACACACACATAAAGAATCGTTCAGGGCCCTGTACACTGTGTACGCTAGGCCTATATTGGAGTATGCAGCACCAGTTTGGAACCCACACCTAGCCAAGCACGTAAGGGAACTAAGAAAGTGCAAAGGTTTGCAACAAGACTAGTCCCGGAGCTAAGGGGTATGTTCTACAAGGAGAGGTTAAGGGAAATCGACCTGACGACACTGGAGGATAGGAGAGATAGGGGGGACATGATAACGACATATAAAATACTGAGAGGAATCGACAAGGTGGAGAGAGATGGGACACAGCAACAAGGGGACACAGTTGAAAGTTGAAGACAGATGAATCACAGGGATATTAGGAAGTATTTCTTCAGCCACAGATTAGTCAGGAAGTGGAATAGTTTGGGAAGTGATGTAGAGGAGGCAGGATCCATACATAGCTTTAAGAAGAGATATGATAAAGTTCATGGAGCGAGAAGAGTCACCGAGTAGCGACCAATGAAGAGGCGGGACCAGGAGCTACGAGTTGACCCCTGCAACTACAACTGAGTACAACTAGGTGAGTACACACACATACACAAAACACACACAAAACACACACACACACACACACACACACACACACACACACTCACACCACACACACAACACACCACACACACACACACACCACATACACACACATACACAAACACACACACACACACACACACACACACACACCCACACACACACACACACACACACACACCACACACACACACACACACAGGGACAGAGACCTGGTAGGAAAATCAGTAAACGGAGATGATGGAATTTTGTAGCAACAAAGTGCAAGGAGGCAGAGGAAAGGTTTGTTCCCAAGGGAAACAGAAATAATAGGAAGACCAAAGCGAGTCCTTGGTTTACCCGGAGGTGTAGGGAGGCAAAAACTAAGTGCACCAGAGAATGGAAAAGGTACAGGAGGCAAAGGACCCAGGAACATAAGGAGATTAGTAGAAGAGCCAGAAACGAGTATGCACAGATAAGGAGGGAGGCCCAGCGACAGTACGAAAACGACATAGCATCGAAAGTCAAGTCTTGCCCGAAACTGCTGTATAGCCACATTAGGAGGAAGACAACAGTCGAAGACCAGGTGATAAGGCTGAGGAAAGATGGTGGAGAACTCACAAGAAACGATCAAGAGGCATGTGAGGAGCTCATGAGATTTAAGGAAGTATTTACAGTGGAGACAGGAAGGCTTCTGGGAGGACAGACCAGATGGGGACACCAGCAAGGAATACACCAACAAGTGTTGGATGACATACATACAGATGAGAAGGAGGTGAAGAAACTGCTAAGGGACATTGATACCTCAAAGGCAATGGGACCGGACAACATCTCCCCGTGGGTCCTTAGAGAGGGGGCGGATATGTTGTGTGTGCCACTTACCACAATCTTCAACACGTCCCTGGAAACTGGGCAACTACCTGTGGTATGGAAGACGGCAAATATAGTTCCCATTTTTAAAAAAGGAGACAGAAAAGAGGCACTAAACTATAGACCTGTGTCACTGACGTGTATAGTATGCAAAGTTATGGAGAAGATTATCAGGAGGAGAGTGGTGGAGCACCTGAAACTGAACAAGAGTATAAGCGCCAACCAGCATGGATTCATGGAAGGAAAATCCTGTGTCACAAACCTTCTGGAGTTTTATGATAAAGTAACAGAAGTAAGAGACGAGAGAGAGGGGTGGGTTGATTGCATCTTCTTGGACTGCAAGAAGGCCTTTGAGACAGTTCCTCACAAGAGATTAGTGCAGAAGCTAGAGGATCAGGCTCATATAACAGGAAGGGCACTGCAATGGATCAGAGAATACCTGAGAGGGAGGCAACAACGAGTCATGGTACGTAATGACGTATCACAATGGGCACCTGTGACGAGCGGGGTCCCACAGGGGTCGATCCTACGACCAGTGCTATTTTTGGTATATGTGAACGACATGATGGAAGGGTTAGACTCAGAAGTGTCCCTGTTCGCAGACGATGTGAAGTTAATGAGGAGAATTAAATCAGATGAGGACCGGGCAGGACTTCAAAGAGACCTGGACAGACTGGACTCCTGATTCAGTAACTGGCTTCTCGAATTTAATCCCGCCAAATGCAAAGTCATGAAGATAGGGGAAGGACAAAGAAGACCGCAGACAGAGTATAGGCTACGTGGCCAAAGACTGCAAACCTCGCTCAAGGAGAAAGATCTTGGAGTGAGTATAACACCGAGCATGTCTCCGGAAGCACACATCAACCAGGTAACTGCTGCAGCATATGGGCGCCTGGCAAACCTGAGAACAGCTTTCCGATACCTTAATAAGGAATCGTTCAAGACACTGTACACCGTGTACGTCAGGCCCATACTGGAGTATGCAGCACCTGTTTGGAACCCGCACTTGATATATATATATATATATATATAATATATATATAATATATATATATATATATTATATATATATATATATAGTGTGTATGTCACTCAGAAAGCCCCAATTTTACCCTCAGACAAGCAGCAGCAGCAACAGTAATGTGACTCCTAGTCTGGTCTCAGACCAGGTGGGGCGGCGCCCCCTCTGTCTCACCTTGTTCAATCAGCAATTCAGGTCAAGTCTTTCCCCTCCCTCCCCCCTCTCTGCTTCATTCCCTCCCCCCTTCCCCCCTCCCTACCTCCCTCCCCTCACCTATTTTCCTCCCCTTCTTCCTTACTCTTTCCCCTTCTTTTTTACCCCTCATTTACATCTCTTCCATTTCCTTTAATTCTCTCTTTTTTCCTTTGTTCGTTCTTCCCTCTTCCAGTCTCATTTCTCCCTTCCACATTCTTACATTTTTTTCCCGCTTTCTAGTTTCCTTCTCGCTTCCTTTCTCCCCCTCTTCCTACATCCTCTCTTCCTTTCCCCTCTCTCCCCCCGTACCCTTCCCTTCTCTACTCTCCCCTCTCTTCCCCTCCCTTCATTCATCAGAGGTAATCTCCCTCATCGCATCTCTCTCACTATACATCTTTCTCCCATTTTTTCTGTCGCTCTCTTTGTCTGTATTACGATTTGTCTCTCGCTGTCTGTCTGTCTGTCCGTCCTCCTGTCACTTTGTATGCATGTATGTCTGTCTGTCCGTCCTCCTGTCACTTTATATGCATGTATGTCTGTCTGTCCGTCCTCCTGCCACTTTGTATGCATGTATGTCTGTCTGTCCGTCCTCCTGTCACTTTGTATGCATGTATGTCTGTCTGTCCGTCCTCCTGTCACTTTGTATGCATGTATGTCTGTCTGTCCGTCCTCCTGTCACTTTGTATGCATGTATGTCTGTCTGTCCGTCCTCCTGTCACTTTGTATGCATGTATGTCTGGCTGGATGTCCGATCTTATCATTCCCTCTCTTATTCTTAATAATTTGCACCAGCCGACATTATCTTATCTTATCGTATCTTGCATGTCTGTCAGTATGCGTCTATCTCTCTGTCTTCCTGACTGCCAGTTTGATTGTCTGTCTATCTGCGTGAACTTGCCTAATTGTGCTTTCACGGGTCAATTCACTGCTTCTGGCCCCGTCTCTTCACTTTTACCGACTGATTACTGATTTTCTGGCTTCCTGGGCCCGGTCGTATCTGCTCTTTAAACTGTGTATGGTGTTTCCTTCACCACCTCTTCATCTTAAGATGGAAAGATGCACTTCGTAACACCCGTCTGGCTCCTCTACGTCTTTGGCTGTCGTCTGTGTCCCCTGGATCCCACTCGTCGCATCAGACAGCCTGTCTCCTTGGCTT